AAAACAGAATTATAGGGAAATTGCTGTGGGAAAGAACATCCTCAGGGACCATTTGTAGGTAACGGGTATCCAACTGTCAACAAATGCACATCAATAAGCATGAGCGAACAAGATGGGCAGCACTCTTTATAAGATTCAGAGAACTCATCGTATGTCACATGTCTTCGCCAAGACTTAAGGGGACCGTGACCTTAATGAGACAGTCCAGATATGGGAAAGGAAGACACCTTTCTTACACAAACGTTGGGTTCACAAGATTCGTGGAAGCGAAATTCTATTCACTGGTTGTTGGATTGTCGATATGACATATCAGAGTTTTCCGTGGTAGGTAATTCTGGTTACATGAATCATTTATGTCTAGCTTCAGTTAACGGCAGAATGCTTTTTTTATGTGCTGGTCACCATTGATGTAACTGTAATCCATAAATAAAGCGATTGAGGAGCAATCTGTCTGTATCAGTGAAACAACGTTTGTCATGTACTCCGACGTCTCGTCGTGTTCACCCTGTTTCTGTGTGATATGGTTCCTGGTGAACCTAAACGGTTTTTTTGCGCTTATCGGTCGGGCTGTACGAAACTGTCGGTGGAAATAGACCACTGTGTATCCCTGTGCTGCAAAATTAGAATTGCGTTCGACCGTGTGATTCAGCATTTCTGCACTTACATCCCACAGCGAAATTTTGGCCGAATTTATAGTACTCATAACTTGCTGAAAGATGAAAGTCAAATGAGAATGGCGCTTTTGCTCGGCTTGTGAACTATGACCAGTGGTAGGCTTCCGTGTATCCATTGCCCGTGACCGCTGGATGCTCCAAAATCACCAATGTTTTCTATCACACTCTACTCATGAGTAACCAAAAATAAATTAGATTGAAGGGATCCTCAGCCGGCAGCAGTGCGGCGGTCCACCTGCGAAGGAATATGGGGTTGAACACTAAAATACATCGTAAGGGCGACTTTTTGGCATATCTACGTGTTTAGGCGGCTCCTGAAACAACTTACTTTCAGGATCATAAAGTGTGCCACAGTTCCGTCGAACAGTACTCAAAAGTCCTAAGTAAGGACACAACGGAACCTCTCAGCAGACATTAGTGTCTGGCGTCAAGGTTACCGTTACAACCCTCTCGGTTTTTCTGATAAATAAGACTAAATATTACTGTAAAGCAGACATCCATGGATAAGTGTTCTAAAACAAAGGGGACTTGTTTGAGTGAACCATTGTTCAAAAGATGTTAAGTGACTGACTCAACTCTCGTGTTGCCCTTGGACCGCTTACGAGAGCCGATAGTGTTGAATGCAACGGAAGACGACGACGAAATCTGTATGGCGTGTTCACGAAGGCGTAATCGAATAGAGGATTGGAAGGAAAGACAGGGAGACTACGGAAAATAACCAAAGCAGCGGTCTGCGGGGAAAAGTGCGCCGGCCGGGAATCGAACCCGGGCCGCCCGCGTGGCAGGCGAGCATTCTACCACTGAACCACCGGCGCGACGACTGGGTCAATAATGGGGAATTGAAGAAGAAACAGTCGAATGGATACTTGTTGACTGTTTAATATATATTCTAAGCATTTCCTTGAACCTTTACGTGATTTATGGGCTTTATGAGAATCTGAACGACATGAAGAATATCAACCGCATCGACACACGATAAAACATCACAGAACTCCCAAAAGTGGACAGCTAGTCCGAACGACCGGTGTACTCTTAGACCCAACAACGGACTTCAAATTAGCCTGTCTCCAGGGGAACTTATATGACAACGAAACACAAAAGTTGATAAACATTAACTGCCTTTTCAACTGATTCAGTTTTGTCGTCTCTCTGATTCTAAAATAACCATATATAATAAGGGCGATACCGTTTAAAATCTGTTTACTCACGGATTGTATCTAGGATGAGGCCAAAATGCCGATCTCTGGCGTGTATTGAAACTTAGCACTTTGTATCACATTACAACGGATAAAAATCTTCATCTTCTGAAGAAGCAGATCATGAAACATATTTTGGTGATTTCAAGAATTACTCCGCATGTTTTTTAGTTAAACGTCTCATTGCCCCATAATCTTCTAAACGACATCGATTTGTCACCTAATTCTGATTTTCCTAGTGCATTCACCCGGCTATTCTTTTTATAATTCTGATGGGCATTTCAGCCTGCTTGCCCGTGCAAGGTATTTTGTTGCTATATCAGAGTAAACAGCGTAACAAGTTTAGACGCTTTGCATCTGAGAAGACTCAGTTGAATCCAATAATACTTGGAAAACTTATCATTCAGGCTATTAGCAACGCTATATGAATGATGATTTTACGGGTATTTTAACTCTCCCCGAGAGAAAATAGCCCCAAATTAATAATTTCAGTAGATCACTTTGCAGTTCCAGAACATTACTTACCATAGGGATAATGATCATGCACTCAGCCCGAGTTCGGTGTGCACTTGTGAGAATACAGGTGACAATCGGAGCATCTGAGTCGGAAATATAGTAATCAGACTATTCGCTCGTGAATGGTTTTACACAGCAAATTGAAATCCGTCTGAACCTTTGTCCGTATTGTTATTCAAGTTCAGTATTTGAAGACTGAGACTATGGGAAATCCATATGGATTTAATCATTCCTTGTAGCAAAGTGGTGCCAAGCGGTGTTTGACCGTCGATGTCTTTTGAGCATTGACTGAGTCTGGATCAGTCATACGGAAGTACATCGGACGGTTTTCGGAAGAAATAACTCATCCACAAAAGATGAACTGGTCACACTCCATAGGGTGCACTGACTTGGTCACGTGCTGCGTATTCCAGGTGACTGACTTCCTTGGAGAGCTGTTTTCACACAACCACACAAAGGGTGGAAACGTGCCAAGTGAGGTTAAGCGATGACTTGGCAGCAAAGTGTAAAAGCCATGATCAGAAAAACTCAGCTGCGCTGGTCACTTCCGTCTTTCTGGATGGAGGCCCCCGAGATGGGACACATCGACGGTTAGAGAGATTGTCAAACATGGCCCAGTCGTGCCCTCAAAGGCTCTCGTGCCTCCAATGCATGGCTCCCCTCCAGATATCCCCAGTGAAAAGTTCACTGATAGCCCTGTAATTATGCCACCTTCCCCACCTCCCTCAAATCGTTGGTGAACGAAACTTTGACAACTTGAACCACTGTATGGCAAGTACGTGATTTTCACAGCTGAAAGTGATGACGAGCGGTTAACTGATATATCACTGCTCATGAGAGTGCTGAAAACTCTTTAAACTCCATCTCCGCCTACCTCTTCTTGCAGCTCATCAAGTGGATGTGATTCTCAAGCTTTAGTCAGCCGTACGTTCCACTTGAACACCAAACTAGCGAGAGGTTTAGCTGGGATTTTGGCGAGAATCCCGTAATAACTAGCCTTATTTACAAGTGACCATATTTCGCCACCTGCATGTCATTCCGTTGTTCAGGTTAAAACGAGGCTAACGAAAATTTTGGGACTACACCTAATTGATGAACCGTAACAACGGCAAACGTGGCAGTGTAATGTGCGGAGTTTTCATCGAACTTAAGGGTAGGGTCGTGTGGGACAAGAGGAAGAAATGTTCTTTCGAACTCAGATTTTAAAACACCCGGTTAGTAAAACTACAATTCTCCAAGATACAAAAACTTTGGTCTGATGTCCGATGTGACCAGAAATGTTAATAATTAACCCCCCTTTTGCAAATTCATCTTCAAGCTGGCATTCGTGGCCTCTGTGCCTATTGGTCAAACAGCACTTGTTTGTCATTCTACGCATTCAACAAACTGGGAAAAAGTGAGTTTTCCAATATGCACTATGTCTATGGTTTCATTTGTGTCAGCCTGTGCCCTTTGCTTGTACTTTGTACTCATTGCATAACTTACAACCCTCAGTAGACCTATTGAGGACACCCATTTTTCTTGGTGTTACCTACTGTACGCCGTCTTCCTGTCGTACAACGATAGGTCACATGTGGCCGAACAATGGTGAATACCAAACAATCGAACGCAGACCTCCAAACACATGTGTGTGTTCACAACTCAGGGCCATAGCGGGTCAAAAATGCTTTCATCTAAATGTGTTCTAGCATCATTCGTGAGAAAGGCCAACAGGAACCTAAAAATTTCTGACAGAGATGTCAGACAAAGCTACATGTACAGACCTATATTACTATAGTGTTTCAGGAGTAGAGCTGAACTCTCCCTCGAAAAATTCGAGTTTCAACAGATCTACTGGTTTGAGGAACTCAGTAGGGAACAATTTCAAAATTTTCAGCAATGTCTTATCATTTTTATCAACGAAGAACGACGTTTCAACACGCCGTGAAGACACCACCAAATTGACTTTGAGAAGCTATTCTACTTACACTTTAGAATGAACGGAGTGAGGTTCGACAGGTTGCACCTTAAGCAGTGGCATGTTTCCCATTGATCAGATTATCGACCTGAAAAAAATAACCGAAACGTGCACACACGCGACCGCTTCCATGCAGCCACTAGTAAAGGCAAAGGAAATCATACCAACTCGGCCTGAACACATTCTACTGCTGATCTTGTAGGCTTTGAAGTGTACGGCGCCACAGGGCTCTGGGAGTCCGGAAATCTTGGTCGGTAAAGGAGGGCTGTGTTATGTAAAGAGCCCTAAGAATATCAAGCAACCTAAAGACACACAGCGACGACTCTATACAATCCGATCTACACTTCTTTTCACAAACGCAGGTGCAGAGGCCACCGTGGAAGAGTGCAGAATCTTTAGCGCACCCATTGCCAGTCTTCAAGTATCCACCCCACAATCCCCTCGCTGTTGCTCAGAAGACCTTTTGGAGAAGACAAAGGCTCATACTCCAAACTACTACTTAATGATTGGTTTGATCAACGGCAACATAATTGTGCGTGATTTGCAAACAGGTAAGTACTGTCCTTGAGTGATATTCAACCTGATGACACCTTCCGTCTTTTTGAACTTGTTAGGGGAAGGTAATATTATCCTAAAGATCCTCAGATGTACCCGGATCCCAGTCACGTAGGTCCAGTGTGAACGGTCACCAATATGTTCCGGTGCAATCATCCTGGTGAGGGAAGCGCTGGACTCGGGTTCCGCTCTTACTAGAGCTCATCAACATTGCATAGCCTTGCCCTTGTCGGGGCTTGAACTCCACTGATCTGACATGCGGGGCGAACGTGTTACTACTACTCCACCAGCCTATGCTGAACATATCTGAATTTTTACTTCTGAACAGGTGATCATGCTCAGGTTGACTAATTTCACTGGGGCGCAAAATTCTGAAGACACACTCCGCTAGAAATGAGGACTTTTACCAAATAGTATTCCTCTAGGACTGTACATATGTAGGTTTTAGACAGTGAAGCATCCAAAAACGTGTTGGCAGTTTTTGTATACCTTGGATGGAGAACAAAAGTCAACAACAAACGCGCGATAATGGCATTCCAAATTCAAGCAGACACCAAAAAATCAATTTCGCTCAAAGTTTAACTAACACACTTGTAAAGAAATTTAAGAGGCACCGAGGATGACCGAATTTTGTACTGTTGTAGCCTTTTATCCCACTAAAATGGACTGTAGTCTGTGTTTTCATTTAGGTTCCTATATTCTGACGACCAACGCTTGGAGTGGACCAATAACCCAGTTGGGTAGCTACTGCAATGTGATGTACGCCCTGGTTCTCAGACAGTCTCGAGACATGGGACGTTTAGCTGATGTGATAACGGTATGCCGGAAGTCATGGAACAGCGTTTCCACTGCTCCGTAAGTGTCTTTTACTAGGGAAGATTTTTAACGGCATTATTTTGTTCATATCCCTGTGACTTGTATATAAAATTTCATGGCACCTGTTTCTGAATAAAATAACCTTGAAACGAATCACAGTAGTTTTACTGAGCGGCAACGTACAGGAGACTTACATTAAGTGAAAATCAACCGACTGATTTTATGTCGCATCAAACACTGTTCTAGGTACCTGCGTTTAATCAGGTCCACTCGTATATCTCTCCAAATCCATATGAGAATGCAAACTGCTTATCAGAAACGCACCCAAACGGATTCGTACCGTACTAGGAAGGATGGAGTCAAAATCAGCTGAATTACTAACATCGTGCTTCAAGCATTTCGGGAATTTTTTGCTAACGCTGCAGATGCTTGTTTTATCCAGCTGCAAGGATTGAAAACGGTGTGCTAATGCGGTTCGCTGCCGGTACATCTTTTACGTGAATACACCTCCACAGTAGCCAGAGCGTAATGTAAACATTTAGCGAAGTTTTACTGCAAAGTTCTAAAATTATAACTAACAAACTCGGGATCAAGTGACCGATACAGTGGGTATCCATTTTATCACAAGGCCAGAAAGGTAGTGTGGTTGGACTTACCACAAGCAGCTGGTTATGTTGCAAACGTATGGCTTGGTAATTGGTCGTCGTCTCAGATGGTCAGTGATTAATGGGCGCAACATAGCGGACTACTTACAAGTAGTCAGAGTGACTGGTGAGGTAGTGTATCCCTGTGCAGAACGGTGCATAAGCCGACAACTCTGTTGTATGACAACCCTAAGCCCCCTTAACTGGTTTGTGATGAAAATTCGGCCCTCCATGAGGTTACAGAAACGTACAGGTGAAGATAATTTATTCCCCCAACAACAGATACTTTACGGAATTTTCTTCTCGATGCTAGCTTGCATTTACTGTAGATTGTAGGGAGACCAAGACTTCCCAATAGGACGATTTTTAGTAGTTAATCAAGTACGTGAATACAGTGCCTATCATTATGTAAGTATTGGTGATAATTGCCCTCGAAAAACCTCCTAATTTCGAAAATCGGGTTTGATACATTCTTAGCTGGGATTTTATAGAAAGACTACTTATGAGGGAGGAATATTGTGACATCTTGAATACTGACTCAAACGAATCCAGAGGTAGCCTGTACAGGGCACATTAGTCTGAGGAGTATCAGGAACGAGTCCCATTAGAATATCTTGGTCGCGTCCCTTTGTTTCAAATGCATGTGAGTTCAGCACCCCTGATTTGATAGCTAATAAACACGTTAGTGGGGCTTTACAGTTGATGTACTTTTCACACAAATACAACCATGTACTAGAGGCGTGTATTACAGTCCGGTAATTCGCACTACGGAAGCTGAACGCCTCAGTGCTCGAACGGTCACGTGCATTGCAAAAGCCGCTAGAGGAGGGCATTTTATCGCTGAAGGAGGGCTACGCGGTCGTGCTCAGACTACGTGAGAGCCAAGCCTATCCCTAGTGGGGAATACCACTCCATCTGTCATGTACAAACCTACAAGTTCATGCTCAGTCCACATATCTAGTCGATCTGTGATCTGGGGACAACAATCACTGTTTGTGCACACGGATTACAGGTGCTGAGTGAGGAATGCTATTTCCGCCAAACTCAGTTCTCACACCCAACCAAGCTATCCTGGCAGGTAATCACACCTCCGTATATACACGATCCAGGAAACAGTGCTGAAACTTCCCTCATCCTCTCAATTGAAAAGACAGCTTTTTTATATGTTGTTACGATTCTGGACTGGTTGGCTGACTATACAGCGTGCTGCCGAAGGCCAAACATATCAGCAACCTCAGGGCGACAGTCAGGCAGAGGCTGAAAACTGACGAGAAACATGTGTATGAACAATTGACAAATATGGACGCCGGATGCATCAAGCAAACAGAACGGCATGACAACCAACAGTGCATAGTTGACAAAGGCACCCAGTGACGGGTGGTGTGGGACAGCCGACAGAGGTTAGCAAATGTGAAAGTGCACACAAGGTGTTTACATGAGAATGAGTAGCTGACAACCACAGCAACGACACATTCGACTCACTCAATTCGAGATAACTCAGTGGTAAAAGCGCAAAACTTACTGACTAACGTCTGCATCTTGACTGCCCCTGTTTAAGTTTGGACAGTCTGACAGCGTCTCGGCCCTCTTTCTTCCCTCGGTAGCCAAGCACTAAAGCGTTGTTACGGCTGAACATTTTTTCTGAACGGACCGGTAGCAGAAAAGTCACAATAGGTTGGCTTACTTTATTTATTCCTTTCCCTATGTCAATGTACACTGGTTAGACATTATTAGAATATTTATGTTTTGTTCTGATTACCTCCTGCAGATCTATCTGGACACCTCTAGGGAAAATCTGGTGAAACTCCACTTTAGTACAATCAAACAATGTGGTAAACAAATAGCAGTGAAGGCGCCTCATTTTGAGCGGATAAGAGAAGTTTTTGGAGGATGTCCTACGAAAAAAATGTTCGATTTGGCATGCCCACTTTTCCCAGGGGGTTAAGGTATCTTATGAAGTCGGTTACTAGGATTAATATTTCAGATGAGCAGAAAAGGGAGAAACCTGCGTCCAACTGCGTGAAATTTATTCACTTTCCGTGCTGCATCCTGAAGCAGCACCAATGAAGCAGAAAGAATCCTCTCGGTAGTTTTAAACTTCTTCTCAATTTGTTCTGCCTAAGTTACTCACACGTAGAGATCGATAACACAAGATACGTCGGAGGATGTTTAACTCATAAATCCATGTAAGGAATTGTACCCTTGAAATAACACCAATGATATGGAGGATGGTCAAACCTACTGGCGCACTGCAGAGTGCAAAAAAACATTTAAACAATCATTATTCACTGTTAAGAGTGAACGAAATTTATGGAGGCTTATCGGCATAGGCAGCGTACGACAGGAGGGGATGCAAATTTCAACGGCTCAAAGAGGTCAGCGACCAAATGAAGAAATGGCGGCGACTCGAGGGACGGAAACTCGGGGATCGAGTCCCAAAAAGGGCGAAACCGGGAGTGAGCTTTTGAAGGGTTTTCAGTAACCTCGGGAGTTGTGTGTTACGTCTAGACTTTTATACATTCTAACAGTAATTTGAGGCTGGCTTCCGGTCTTTACATAATACGCAAACCTCTCAAATAAGCCACTAAATTCTTGTCTTCGGCAGCATACACTTTTCTAACAACCTTTGGTCAGGTCGTCGATGAGAAGTGAAACTGTACAAAGACACCAGTGTGAACCTTATCCGGTTGTTTTGGTAGCTCAGAAACAAGGCTACTCCAGCCTTTTCCAGTGTTTTCTGTCCACCAGGTTGGAAGGCGGCTGACAAAACTCAGTTTACGATGAAAACAGAGGAATAGGTTGGGTCACAAATTGAAAGGCTAGTCCAGAAAGTTGCGTCTTTTCGATCTTACAAGATGTCACTGGCTACATACTGTTTTCATCCTGGATTGAAGACTAAATCTTATGAAATTTCCTACCCTTTTTAGGTTAGCACCAGAGGAAGAATTCCAAGCAGTCAGTCTCTTGGAGCTTCACGGGTCACTAAAGGTCAGTTCCGGTTCAATAGTCGCATCACGCACCTATAGATTTCAGTTCCTCCAGTTAAGGTTCCGCATGATTGTTTTCGTGGTATAGGAAAACTGTTTACGAGGAATGCCCTCCAAAATTTCTACTTTGATACCACATATAGACAAGCAACATCATACGCTTCATCGTGATTGTGTGTCACACTAGGCTCACCATCATAGTAAGTTGGCTGTCAGAAAAATTTGCGCCTCAACGCGGTTCGCGGGAGCAAAATATTTAGCTGTACACCGTCAAGGAATGCATTTCATCGCTGGAGGAGAGCTATGCGGTCGTGCTCAGACTACGTGAGAGCCAAGCCTATCCCTAGTGGGGAATACCACTCCATCTGTCATGTACAAACCTACAAGTTCATGCTCAGTCCACATATCTAGTCGATCTGTGATCTGGGGACAACAATCACTGTTTGTGCACACGGATTACAGGTGCTGAGTGAGGAATGCTATTTCCGCCAAACTCAGTTCTCACACCCAACCAAGCTACCTTGGCAGGTAAACACACACATAGCAGTTGCAGGTCACATAAATTTATAACCTGGTTCACGGCTTCATCGGAGAGTACGACAAACTGCTCTGTATTGAGCTTAGAAAAACGTACACAGTACACGCGACTTCCCCAAAGCACCTTAAAAAAGGAGACAGTCCGTCATGAAGTGCAATGAGGAAGCTGTAAGCGCAATAATGATGGCTTTATGATATCATCTTGTTTATAATTGTAAATCTCATTTGGACACAGCCATTTTGTGTATGATACAATCCAGATGAATATTCTGAACAGGAGTTGCCTAGTGTTTCGATTATGCCGATATTTGAGATATCGTATTACATTTTATTGACGACCAGTACTACTCATAAGGTGCCGGAAACCTTTGGACAGCTCATGATCGGTTTCATCCCTACCGTGGCTCTTCAGATAGACCAATCATTGGCAGTAGTTCGTCACGAAGAGACTGGACCTTACCGTGG